ATTGCGAGATATATAAGTTGTTAAAGGTGACCATGTCGAGAATGAATTGCGTTTTTTTTTTTTGCACTTTAGGACGGTCTAACTTTGCCGCCAGCGCACTTTTTGAGACAAACTCTTTCGATTTCGGAATTGGGTAACAAGTGCTACAAGTTGGCAAAAAATGAAAAAAATCTGAGAGGTCAAGGTTTAAACTTGTGCGATTTGGCGTGGAATGGCCTAGGTACAAAAACTAGCGTTGCTGCTTCAATTTTGCAGAAACCTTCCTAATTTCAGCAGCAAAATTTCGTATGTTTGCTACTCTTCCTCAACACTTTGGCTTAGAACGTGGTTCAGCTACTTTATGATGGTGCAATAATGCTTTATACGTAGAGTTGGCTGGCTTAAGCACAGTTGAGAAGTTGTTATTATACCTAACTGATTTAAATAATGCGGAAGGTGAGCTTAGTACGAGTCAATTCTGGAGATACAAGTTCCTTGCAGTGCTTCAGTACATACTCTAATTTGAGTAAATCGTTTTAAGTTTCACTAAAATAATGATTCGAAATCAACTTTCCTGATTTGTCGAAACGTTTCCAGAAACCTGGCGGTAGCGATAGATTTTATGCAGAGCTTTCTGTTTCCGAAGGTGAGAAACTCAGGGAGTAGTGTACGGGAAGTTGTGAGGTGAAGTTATTTGCATTGACAAGGGTTTAGTAAAAAACTACGTTTATGGGGTATCAAGTCTGGGCAGAGAAGGAATGAGAGATGCTGTGCTTAATTGAGTAAATTGGAAAAGGAAGTGAGTTTTGAGCCCTGTATGGGAAGCAGAAACAGGACTAACCAAGCCACGGTTGGCACCGTATGGCGCTATGCCCTAACGTCGTAAGCGGATTTTTAATTTAGATTGTATGACTTACCTGTTGGAGTTCTGCAGGTAGAGAAGACAGACCATCGACAGGGCACCGGTTCCAGAGGTAGGTATCATACAATGTTACGACGTGCACTAAGTTCTGGAAATCTTTCATATTAAGAGTGGCAGAAAGACTTATCAGTTTGGCTCGATTTTATGCTCTCTCCATCTGACTTCCGTTTCTGCGAGGAAATAGTGCCTTGTTTGCTTGTTCAAGCATCTGAATTAAGTTACTTGGCTTGTCTGCTTGATCTATACTTAAGTCAAATTATGCTTCTAGACAATTTGCAAACCGCTGATTTTATTTCATTGATTTACTAACACTTGTGTAATACTCATTGGTTTCTTCTGATTCTTCTCAAATGCCATTTCCGTCTATTTTTCTAATTCTTTCACGTTTTCCAATTTGTCATCAGTTTTGAGTTGTTTGCCTTCTCTAAATGAAACTACTTAATTTCTTCAATATCTGCACAATTATTATATCCAGCCAGGAACCTGTTCGATCCGGCAGCAGATTTTACTAAGAATTTTCTCTTTTCCTAAGTGCATCTTTGACGGAGTTCGCTCGCACATCAATACAAAATAGGAATTTCAGAAACAGTGGTAAAACATTTTGCAACTTTTCTGAACGTAGCTTCAAGATCCGTTGGATAACTTGTTTAAGTGGCTTATTTTTGAGCATTAGTCGCTGTTATACCACTACCTTTTTGGCCAGATTTCTTATTTCCCTTATTGAAGAGTCCAATTCGCAAATACAAAAGCCGAATGCGAACAGCAGCTTTTAAACTGCCATTTATTTTGCAGATTTTCAGATTGACATGTACAGATTGACAGCAGCACTCGTTGAAGCACCGGATTAGGATTTTTTGATCGTGAAGGTGTTTACCACTACCGGAAAAGTAGAAGAATAAAAAAGAATTTTTTTCCTATTTGTTGCCTTCAAGTATCGTAAACGACTTTTATGCAGTTTAATGCAGTTTGTTGAACTGCATTTACGAGTTCTTTTAAACACGATGGAAGGGTTGGTATTTATCTTATGCGTCTTCTTAGCTATGGGTTCCTGCGTCTTTCGGTTTAATCGTGAGATGGACTCTTCCGTCTCCGTAACAGGCGATATAATTGGTCTTTGCGTATGACATATTGTGAACCATTCTTCGGATTAAGGAGTTTTTCTGCGTTTCTTAGCTGAATTCTTTATTCAGCACCAGAAATGTTAGAGCGATTTATATGTAACCATAACCGCTTTATAACGGGATGAAGGATTGGAAGGTCAGTGCATTATTACTTCACACAGCTTGGATTTTTGGCACACACCCTGACTTGTGTCTTTTTTCCAGCCTAAAGCTGTTTTAACTAAGCTACTTACACATGTACAGAATGATTTCATGCAGCTAACTGGTGGGCACCGCTCATTTACAAGCCTCAGTGAAACTCGCACATATTTTTTATACTACCAGTGATTTTCGGAAATACAAAAATGTACATTTTCAGTGCTGAAAAATAGCGGATTTTTTCCTTCTTTCATTCGTTCCTCACTTGGATGCATTGTAACTCTTCCGCACCTTGCGGACTTACTAGACTTGTAAAAAATGTTTTATTCAGCATAGTATTCAGCCGTAACTGCTCCTCCTCCCTCGTATTTTTTCAAACATTACGTATTTATTTACACAACAGCGTCCTACCTGAAAGTGGAGAAATGGCGCAAAACCTTTTTACCGTAGTCCTAAATTTGTCGTGTTTGTGAACAGTGTTGGAAATTCTTGACCTTGGCAAATTACACAAATATGTCAAGAATGTTTTTTCAGTGTGTGATGTAAATACTTGTCCTTAGCGGTACTCAAATTTAAAACTCAAGAAGTGTCGTCCGTAACGCGTGTAGGAAAATTGCAGAGGATTTTTCGCGTTAATTTGGTGAGGATAAAGAACTCTGCTTGTAATTGCATGTTTGGTTTGAAGAAGAATGCGCTACGAAAATGAGTTTATTTATTGGTTTTTCTAGCGCGTTTGAAAGGTTTTACTGCAATTTATTCTAGGATAAAAAGCTGGTAATTTTAGATTTAAGAGGGAGTGGACTAGTGAGCTGGGTGTCACCGGCAACTTGTCCTTTCAGCAAGGGTTGAAGTTAGGCAAAGTTAAAAATTTACCAAGCGGTAAGAAAGGGAACGGACATGTTGCAGAGTCAGGGAATGTTTTTAAAACTAAAATGAACGAGGAATGTAGCCATTCTAAAGTTACAAAGTTTTGGTGAACTGATGTTCGTATTTCGCAGAAATCTCCGTAGAAGTTCATTGAACGGTCTGTAGAAAAATAGAGGAACAAAACAAAGATCGGTTCTCTGCATGGCGAGAGCTCAAATTGTTTTCGCAATGCAAATGCTGCTAGTATGCGAGTAGCTGCAGCTGACAAACCTCTTTTGCAGATAATAAAGGGTTTTCTTAGAGCAAATTCTAAAGAAACCACCTTAGCGACGGCGAATGTTTCTTATCACGTTAGATAATACAAACGACTATCTTGACAGGATATAGTTTGTTGAGCTCGTTTCCTGACGACTAAAGAAAGAATATTTTTTCATGCACCAGGCTATAAACAAAGTTGCAGCTTATTTCAACATTTAAGAAAGCTTGTTTGCCGGCAACTGAAGCTGATCTCGAGAGAAGAAGTATTCTAAAACTTTCTAAAACTTCTGTTCTTATCCTTCTCACAAATGGAGTTGGTAAGGAGAGTATTACTTTAAAGAATCTGGTGGAAAATATTGTATGACGTTTAACTTTTTCATGCAAGCTTCCTTCCGTTAAGTCAAAATCTATTACCGCTTTTACGGGACATCTGAAACAGAACCATTAGAGTCATTAAGAATTCCGGATTTATTTAGAATGGTGTTGACCCCATTACACTCTGAAAGATAGAC